CCACCAAAGGATTTTTGACCAAAACCACATAATTTTGAGAACATTTTTGCAATTTTGTCTTCTTTCCTCGTTTAGTCGTTTCAAAACCTACGTTTGAATCCAAAACCCTTGTTTTACATCTTCAGGACTCTACTTAATTAATTCGAACCAGTACCGTGTTTCAATCCTTACATGGCGTCCAAGAAGAAGGAATCAGAAGGCATCGCCCTTCTCTCTATGTACGGAGACGAAGACGACGATATGGATGAAGATTTAGATAACGACGACAACACCAACGATGACAACGCCGTTTCGACGAACAAGGAACAGAACGAAGTCGGCGCGAACGAAACTGTTCATATGGAAGAAGATGATGCTGCGGCCCTTAATAATAGTAGTATTATGGGTTACATTAATGCGAGTAGCATCGGTTCGGTTGTTAATTTCGATTCTGCTAATGATGATACCATACCTGATTCTATTGATAATTCTTCTCTCAACACACCGCCGCCTCCTCAAGCTCAGCAAGCGATTTCTGCGGAGCCGATTAGAGGCAGGGAGGGGACTCTAACGATTGTTGACTACGGGCATGATGAGGCGGCGTTGTCGCCTGAAGCTGAGGTAATGTTTCCGTTTGTCTTTGCCTATATATGGGCATTTGATTCCAAGGTTTGTTAATGCCATCTTGCTTAAAGAAAGTCGATATATAAATTATCCGGAAAGGGTACACTCTAAGACATTGACAACCTTCTCTTCCAACACTTTTAACCCCAATTCTCACCTATCTTTGGAAATGGGCAGAGTCTGAGCTTTTTTGTTAAGGAAAATTATTGAATTATATAATTGATATACACAAAAGAAGTACAAGTACAATCGTCAAAACTTTTGTATTCTTTTATATCTTTCCTTCCTATTTCATTGGACGAAACCTAGGTGGGAAGGATTTCAGGGAGAGTGACAACGATCAACAATCAACTGTGTGATCTGACCCATGAACACTTATGCAAAAGTGGATTGGAATTATTTATATAAAAAGAATAATAACTAATGCAATGGAATAGGTAATAAAATCAGGATGTATCATAAGAACAATAATGCTGACACATAACTTCATAAAGAAGTATAAAGCCACAGGTTAACCCATGGTAACTTAAGAAGTCTGTGTTTATTGAAAAGAGTTGTCGTGTTGTGTTTTTCTGGTTTGTATCTTAATGAAAGGTGATTTTGACTGCAGGATGGGGAAATAGTAGCAACTGGTCGAGTAATGTTTGGTGCAGAGCTTCAAAGTGCAAATGGTAGGTGTCCTTGTGATTTTGCAATAAATATATAACTTTCTGTTTTGGTGTAATAAGATGCTATGAACTGACATAGGATTTGGAAATCAAACAAACAAGAACTGAAAACATTGATTTAAGAACACCCAGCAATACCCATATGATTACATTACAATAAGAAGGATAGTTTGTTTGGCTGATTCGAGAAAAAGTATTAATTTCTTGATCATACAAAAGATACCCTCTCCCTGAGTAACTTATAACAGAAAATTGTAGTACCAAAGATTCTAGTATTTGCTGAGTGAGTTTCCCAAATTACCCCTAGATAACATAACATATGTGGCAGAAGCAATAAAGATTCAGCTTGGGATAGAGTGTATACCACCAACAACATTCTTCATCTTGGCTTTTATCACCATGAATAGATCCATCCATTCTGAGTTGTCATTATCATTACATCTTCTCCATTCCATTTTCTGTTTTATGTTTTGTTGAATTTACATTGCTGTTTCTTTCACAACCACCTTGATTCACATTCACTGACTTAGGACTACTACTCACTGTATTGATTTAAGAAGACTCGACAATACCCAAATCATTACGATAACAAGGATACTACTTTGGTTCCCAAAGGAATAATAATTTAATTTCACAAAAGATACCCTCCCAGTAACTTGTAACAGAAAATTGCCCAAAGATTCCACTATCTGCCGACTTTCCCAAATTACCCCCAGATAACATATGTGCCAGAGCGTACACATAAGAATGATAATAATGATATAGGAAAATTAGCTGGAAGCTTTTAAAACATGTAAAATCACATAAAAGGACATTAATTTTAAAAAAGGGTAATCTTGCAAAATTATAAAAGTGTTTTTTGTTAAACGCTACTTGAAGTAGCTTTTGGATTTGGAGCTTTTTGTTTTAGGCTTTTAGCTAAAAGCTAGAAGCTCTTGCTGCCTTTTTTTTCAAGTTTTTTCTTAAAAGATCACAAAAGCTGCATGCCCATAATATAAATATAGGAATACTTTTATCTGCTAACAAGTGTTGAAAAACTGCAAAATACGTGATGGTTTTGTTCATGAACTTTTTACTTTTCAGCTGAGACTTGAAAGTTGATAATGGAGTGTCTGTTAGCCTAGTAATTCAAATAGGCAGCAATACTTTTGATGATGGATCAGTCTTATATAGATTTTGATTTTAGAATTAGATAGGGAATGATTAGGGTATATTGACCATCTGTATAGCAACTTTAGTATTTCCTTCCCAATGTTATCAGCTATGATAAGGTTAAGACTTCATTTGCACTTTTTTTTTTCAAATCCTTACTTTGAAAAATGTAGCAATAAAAGTTGCTTTGTATTGGAGAGCAGAGCAGTGGTATATTTTATTGGATAAGCTAAGGTGATTAGATGATGTGCAGGAGCAGGAACACCACCAGAGCTATTAACACCACCAGGAACAACAGTAGAAGCAACTCCTCAATTGTCAGAATCACATTCACAATCAGAAAAGGGAAACGAATCAGAGTCTGAAGAAGCTGTTAATAATATTACTGAAGATAAGGAGATAGATCCCTTGGACAAGTTTCTCCCTCCACCACCAACCACAATGTGCCCTGATGAATTGCAAGTACGTTGGTTTCTTCATTTTTATAACATAATATTTGTCAATTTTCTACATATCTCGTCTCTAAGCTAAAAGGGTGTTTTTGGAATCTGAAGGAGTCATAATCTGTCATGCGTTTGGAATTCCATAATAAAAGATTAAAAGCTATACATTTTTATTTATTTATATATCATTAATTTTTGTTTATTGTAATATATAATTGGATTTTTAATATCTATTTATATTGGTCTTGTATTAAAAAAATGAAGAATGGGCACAGGATGGGGATGGTAAAATTAAAATCTCTATGAAACATGGAATTTGAATATTCATTTGGGCCATGGAATGGAATCTTTGATTCTAGTTCCATCAGAAAAGAAAAATGGTTTGTTTTGTCTCATCAAATTCAAACGGAATGGACTGTTTTAGGTATAGTAATAAAAATAATTCATTATACCTTTTTATTTATTTATTTATATGTAACATAAAAAGTTGATTCTATCCTTACAAGCAATGATCTTGGAATGTAATGACACAATTCCATTCGATCCAACCAAATTCTTTTGGTGATGCAGGAAAAGATCATTAAGTTTCTGTTGCTAAAGAAGAAAACGAATAGAAGCTTCAATTCAGAAGTGCGAAACAGGAAAGAATATCGCAACCCGGACTTCCTGACACACGCTGTCACTTATCAGAACATCGATGAGATAGGATCTTGCTTCAGCATTGACGTTTTTAATCCCCATGGTTATCACAAAACTGACTTTTATGATGAAATAGGTTGGTTGGTTATTTTGTATATTTTTTCTTAACCTTGTTCACTTTTTCTCTTATATAATAACTATTTATTTATATTTATTTCAACAGAGGCTGATTTGAAGCGGGAAGCAGAGAGAAAAGAACAAGAGAAAAAGAAAAATCACAAGATTGATTTTCTCTCTGCTGGCACTGCCACACAATCTGCACTACCTATTCCAACACCAAAAACCCTGCCCATTCCAGGTCTTTAAAATTATATATTATCTGTGGAATTTTAATTTGTTTTTTTTTTTAAATAAAAAATTGCGTTTATGCAGCAGCTGTGGGTGGTGGTGGTGGAACAAATCCGGTTTCAGCTGGTGCTATTGATACGGGGCGACTAAATAAGAAATCCAAGTGGGATAAGGTAGGTATCATTTGTTTTGTGATGAGCTGCAACAAATAGCAATCTACTTTGATTTACAACATTCTACTTTACAGCAACCAATGTCATCTAAATACAAACCAACTTTCACTGCTTTGCTAAAAACTACAATGCTATAATCTCTTATTAATAACAAACAAGTTGAAAGGCAAATGTTGTAAATTGTAATAGAAGGTTGGCTTGATATACAAATAGATGAAAGTACATTGGTCTTCAAGTTTTTTTTTTGACTTATGCGAAAAATGATCTTATTAAGTTCTCTAGTTTATACAAGTTTCCTTTAAATATCATTTGTCTCAAATATCTTAGTAAGAAGCAAAAAGGCCATAATCAAGGTATATATATGATTTCTTTTCGACCCATTAAGCCCTTGCCTTTACAAAATTGCCCTCATTTGATTTTTCCAAGTGTGTTTGTCATTTTTATTGAGTGTTGACTTTGTCAGGTGGATGGGGACAGAAGGCAGGACTTCTCACATGCAGCACTCCTCTCTGGCTCTGGCTCTGCTGCTACTGCTAATAATGCTGGGAGTGGTTACACAGCCTTCGCGTGAGTAAATCCAAAATCATTGATTTCATTTCTTCTTAGTCCAACATTTCATTCTACTTGGAAAAAAATCTATCCAGATTCGGATGATTGTTCAAAGTATAATAATGTCAAACAAACTGGAAGTAAGTTGTTATAAATATAATTGGGTGGATTTTTCAACCTTAATAAGAAGATGGAAAGTGCAGTGCTGTGTAAATTGTAATAGAAAGAAATAGGACTTTTAGTGTTTTGTTATTCAATGATTAACTAAAAATATGTAATACAGGCAACAAAGACGAAGAGAGGCGGAGGAAAGAAGGTCAATCGATAGGAAATTGGATAGAAGGTCATGAACAAGTCGTATCTTGTAAATTTCGGATAATATTTTTTACACATGTTTTTGTGTTTTTGTTGCTACCTTTTTAACTACAACTTTACATTTTAAAAACCAATTTCATTAAAAACTGAAATTATCAATATGTACACATTCAGAAAGATATCGTTTGGTTTATAGATACAAAAAATTAGATAAGTAGAATTTGAATCAAGTGGAGTTAAAATGTCTTGAAAAATGTGTATAATACAATACGTTTTTAGTTGGGGTATATATATATTGGTTCAAATGAGAACCCAAAAGGTTAACAACTTTAAGAACCATTTTTTAAATGTTTTCATTACGAACATTTTAGACAAACCAAACATTAAAATTATATAAAACAAACTTTTTCATTCTCTAATTTACAACTAGTTGCCACTTATTCTTGGAAGTTGTCGGACCACCATCAGACCGCTGTCGGGCCGATGTCGGACAACTGCCGGACTAACATCAAGTTCAATGGCATTTTTAGGTCGTATTCACAGCTTAATAAAAAAAATATTATAGTTCTCATTTATTTGGTAATATTTTTTAACACATACCCTTTTATTTTTGCAACCAAACATACAAAATATTAATAAAAAAATAAATTTATGCCTTGACAATTCAATTTTTTCTTTTTTCTAAATTTTAGATTTCCTTAAAAAATCTATCGTGTATAATGCATATTCACAGTTTAAAATATCATATTCACAGTTTAATAAACATATTAATTCTTATTAATTCACTAATATACAGTTTAATATTTTCATGCATACATTCATTCATATTTTAGGGCAATATAAAATATAGAACTTAATACAGTCAATTTACAGTTTAATACACAAAATTCACAACTTAATACAATCCAATTTGCAATAATTCAAAAATTCAAAGAAGATAAACTCAAACTCTACCATCACCACCAACTACAATACGACATCACCGGCCACAATTGTCACCATCGCAATCATCATTCCTTCTAAATCAAATATGTATATAAAATCGTTAATCAGCAGCTTAAATACTATATTCACAATTTAATAAACCAATTAATTCACTTATTATGAGTTTACTACAAAATAATTATAAAACTAATACATTCTTACATATTTATACAACACAAAAAATAAATATATTCACAAGAAAACTAAAAAAACATTCACAAGTAAATCATTTATATTTTAAAATAAAATTCATTAAAAATTCATAGCTTAATACAATTAATTAATAGTTTAAACAAAAAACTCACAGCTTAATGCAATTAATTCACATTTTTTAACACAAAAATAACAATTTAATACAAAAAATTCACAACTTAATATATAGTTTATACAGTTTAAACAAAAAATTCACAGATAATGCAGTTAATTCACAGTTTAAAGCATAAAAATCATAGCTTAATACATAAAATTCACAACTTATTACAATAAATTTCATACTTTAATACACAAAAGTATAAATTCACAGCCATATTATCAACTTCAAACTCTTAATACAGTTAATTCACAATTTAATACACAAAATTCACAGCATAATACAATAAATTCACAGTTTAATACACAAATTCACAACTTAGTATAATAAATTTGTTGTTTAATACACAAAAATTATACATTCATCACTATATTCTCAAATTAAAACTCACATTTCAAGAATTAAATTCACAGTTTAATAAAACAGTTTATGACACTCATTTACAATGTTCACAACTTAAAGACACTTTTCAGATTTTATAATTTTCATTCACACAAATCATCAAACACCTTGTGTGCATCAAAAAAGCCATTCACAATACTTATACAACTCAGATTATTCATAAATACAAAAAAATCACAGTAGGATTTAGGTTATTCAAATATTAATACATAAGTTTATACACTTATTCACAACTTAATGTACAAAAAACACTATTTACAGTTTCAAATTTTCATTCAGGCAAATCATCAAACACATTGTGTGCATCATGAAATGATTCTTGATTCTGATTCTTACTAAGCGTTTAACACATAATAGGTAACAAAGATGGAGTAAGATGTAAAACACAATAAATAAACATGAAAATAATTGTACAAAGGTTAAAAAAACACTCATATGAACCTCATCATAATGTACCTGATGTGAAGAAGATGATGAGTGACACATCGGTTGTAACAACACCACCAAATCTTATCGATCTAGCTTTGCCACTTGCAAGATCTCATAGATCTGGTCTCTTCGGATGTTAATGCTCGTGTAATTGGCCTCGTCAATCGCCAATGGCATTGTAGCCGTCGTTGTTGGCGGTGATTAGTGGCAGAACTTACAAATATGGAGGAGGAAGACACCACTGGTGGTTCTATAGTGGTTAAATGGTGGTGGATCTCATAGATCTAGAGCGTAAATCACACATCTAGATGGCGACACCGGTGCCAGCTTGGATTCCACCGGAACTCCTTTGTCTGAACATTAGATTTCCTCGGAAATCCTTCCACGTCTCGAGATCCCATCGGAACTCCTTCCACATCACGATATCTAGCTGAAAAACTTGTAGATTTGAAGGAGGAAATTGTAGATCTAGCGTTAAAAATCATAGATCTGGAGCCGGATCTCGTAGATATGCAGAAAATAGTGTGTGGAAGCAATGACGATGGATGTTAAGACATGAAGGGGGTGGTAATGACGTGACATCGGCGGTAGGAGGAAGATATTCTGATCAGAATATGAGAAAACACACCATATCGGTGATACTAGCGGTGGTGGGGACATCGTCACTGGTGGTGATGGTGGTGAAGTCGTCGTCACCGGTGGTGGCGATGGTGCAACAACCGATGATAGTGACGGTGTTCATCATATTGGTGGTTGGAGGATATAAATGAAGGTTTTTTCTCTAAATGTTAAAAGGGAAGAAGTTGAAGTTAATAGATCTGAGGTAATGGTTCTTATTATTTTTTGGTTCTCATTTGATCTTTCTCTCTCTCTCCCTCTCTCTCTCTCTCTCTATATATATATATCTATATATAATATATATATTATATTATATATATATATATATATTATATATATATATATATATATTATATATAGATATATATAGAAGAGAGAGGAGAGAGAGGAGGTGTGTATATATATATATATATATATAGAGAGAGAGAGAGGGTGGTATGTTCAAATGAGAACATTTATTTAATTTGAGAACATTTGAGAACAATTTTAAAAAAAGACGGAAGGCATCATTCAAGTTTTAATGAAATCTAACATAACAATTCTCTGTGAATGCTTTTCACTCACAAAACAAGCGACACCCCACTCTGATCCTCCCCTCCGCCCAACACTGACTCCTTCCGCTATGTCCTTCCGCCAGTGACCCCACCTTGTGTTTTTCTTCATCATACGCTCTTTCAGATTATTGATACTTGTCCAGAAATCCAATACTCAAACTCGTCAATCTAATCCTTCTGAAGGTTCTCTCTCTCTCTCTCTATAATATATATATATTATATTATATATATATATATATATATATATATATATATAACTAGTTATATCGACAAAATGAGCATTGATTTTAATTATCAACTATTTGGATCGATTACGAGCTGATGATGTTGTATTTTGATACAATTAGTTCATATTCGTATCTTCTGCTACTTGTCATTTAACATGATTCAACGTCTTATTCTTTGTTGATACTAAATCCAAAATGTTAAGCTTAGATTGAATAACAATAATTAGTATCTAGATTTCAAAAATCAAGCTGAATAAATCTCCCCCCTTCTCTCTCACAGTTGCACTCGATATTGATACTCCTGAAAAGCAAAGTAAATGATTTTGTTGTTTGATCTACAGATTGTGTAACTTTGATTCAAGATTTATGGGCCCATCAGTGGCTTGATTGAATTTCATTTAAAGTTTATGACTAATGAACATATAATATTAGATTGGACACATTCGTAGGTTTTAGATGTTATAACAGGCATAATGATGCCATGTTTGGGCGTGCCCAGTTGAAAGCCCTTGACTCCATTCATCCAATCATGGCTAAGAGGTAAACCTTTATTTATGGCACAAATCTAAACAGACATATTCCTTATTACTACATTTAAACATAATTCATCATGTTTAACCTCATACGAAGTATTTTACTATAATTAACTTATATTCCCCCCCCCCCCCTCTCTTTGTTGTGTATCTTGAAAAATAATTACAGGATGAATGGGGGTGCAATTACACATGATGAGACTACATGAAGCAACTGGGACTATGCACTATAGGTGTTCGACATATTGCCAAATCCAATCATGTTCTTCAACATGAAGCATCTTAAATCGTTTAACAGATTTTGAAGCTACATAGGAAGAGAACTAAAAGTGCCCCTCAAAATTAAGTCATTTATCAAGGTGTACTAACTGCACCACTTGAAGATGCAGATGCATTTGAACTTTGAAGCATTTGTACGAATTATCAACTTTGACCTCTTTTCCTTCTTAAGTGTTTCTACTCAACTAGAAGTGGCGATGGCCATATGGTGATAATCATCTACTAGTGGTTTTGTATACAAGCATTACACGCAAGGAGATAATAAGCAATAAATGACATGGAAAAATCATAGGGACTTGATTTGATACTTAATTATTAGTATTTAATTAATTTAATTACCATATATATGGATAATTATTAGGTGACTAGATAATTATCTTCTTGGTTTTATATCCTTCCCTATAAATAAAAAGAGGTCTTTGGACGAATTATTATGATATGTTTTACTCAAAACCCTAGGAAAAATTCGGCCCTACCTCTTCATACCTGAAACCCTCAAAATCGCGATGCCACATCGTGGTGGCTTCATTGCCACAACGTGGTATCTAAAGTTCCAGCATATTCGGATTTTTGAGCCTTCGTTTATGGTGTTCGTTGCATGGGTAGTTGCTAGATGTTGTTGATCTGAGTGTCATGGGTGCGACTGCGCAAGAGGAGTTCTACGTTGGACTCTTAGCTCTCGTCAATCAATCAAAGATCTACGAGGTTTTCTACTACTACAAAAGGTATGAATTCTCGCATATTATCAGTTGTATTAGGTAGGTTGTTCATAGATCCGATTTTTCGGGCCTATTGAGGATCAAAAGTTATTGCTTCCCCTGTCCCTTTAATGTTGTTTAAGGATCCTCAAAACCAATGTTTTAAAAACCGGTTTTTTAGTTAAACCAGTATGGTGACCGGTTCCTGGTTTAACCGATTCGACCGTCGGGTCAACCGATTTCTATAATTTTCATCTTTTTTCCTATTTTCCTACACATACATACATGCATAAATCAAGAATTTGACGTTGACAAGTTCAAACATTAAAAATACATATAAAAACAAGTTGTAAATTAATCCAAATGCATTAAAATAAAACATAACCATAAATTTTACATCAATCTACATACATAAAAAAGAAAATCATAATACCGAAATAAAATATAGTTTGAGATAAGTACATACGCATCAAAAAACTTCATAATATTTGTCATATGTTTTTATTTATAAAAATCTAAATATATATGAAAAGACCATTAAAGTTTATTATGCAAAATGGTTTTTTTCAATGTGTTTTTATTCAATTTAATCGGTTCAACCGGTTTAATTTAACCGTTCAACCGAGTTTTTGTAAAAACCGGATGGTTCGTTCCGGTTCAAAAATAGGCATAAAACTGGTGATAGTTAAACCGCTCCCTTCCCCGGTTCCCGATCCAACCGGCCGGTTCAAACTGGTTCTTAAAACATTGCTCAAAACCTATCACTTTTGTTGGTGCGTTTTTTTTTTTTTTTTTGGCACGGTGTTCTAAGTTGTTATCTTAGATAAGGAGTATGTAATACCTATGAGATTATTATACCAAACTTGTGACATAAGGTTATATTTTAATAAACTACAAAGTCGAGGAACATCACTTTTTTTTAAATATTTTTCTTACTTCTTAAGCAAAGGTGAGGAGCACCAAACTATATTCCAAAATATTTGACTAGCAAAAATATAAAAAGGTAACTAAAAAGAAAAATAAAAATGGAGTACCTTTATTTTGAACTTCAAAAGATCATTGATATAAAACGGTCAACTTCAAAAGATCATTGATATAAAACGGTCAAATGATATGCACAAGTTTATGGGCACTAGCTGCATGGACAACACACTAAACATGTTACCAATATCATACCAAATTAATAAATGTATACTTTATAATCATTATATATATATATATATATATATATATATATATATATATATATATATATATAATATATGATATGATAAATTCAAATAATGAAAAGGGTATTCTTAATCAAACATCCTAAAACAACAACATAACCGAATTAGAATATCCAGCAAGAATCCGTTGAGTGTCCAAAAAGAAAAACAAAAACATAGTAGATATTATCACCATTGTTACTCAACGTAATTTCTAAACACGTTATGTGATAAAGAAGGAAAAAAAAAAAGACAAAAGTTAAGCACAAAAAAGTAGATGTGGATTTTGGAACATGTTTTTATTATGCAGCAGAACCATCCTTCTTTGAAGGTGATGGAGGAGGTTGAGTGCCCTCAGCTCCCATCTCTGCCCTAAGATCATTAATACTCTGCTCCAACTCGCTTATCCTTTCACCCATCTCATCGAGTACATTGTTGTTAAGGTCATCATTCAAAATCCATCTATCTTGTATGACAAAAAAATATGTGGATACAAAATTCATAAGAAACAATATCGAAAAAAAAGGATATTCTTTGAAACAATAGAGTCGGACATTGTTTGGAATCTGGTTTGCTGCAAAGACAACACTCGTCAGTAGAAAGTAGGATGTAATTGTACTAAACATGCAACCAAAGTGCCATTTACAGCTTACCATTTGCGTGAGAAGGTTTTGAACCTGCGAAAACAAGGGTATTACAGTTAGTTATTCGGAAATGGAAGTCGTATGGGCTAAATAAATGAGGAGTAATAACTTTTAAGCAACAAGTGATACTTTATTGATAACAAAAATGAACATTCAAGAGCATTTTGTCAAAGCAAAAACAACAAGATCTAAATTAAAATGGAGACCATATGTAGGTTTCAAGTGTTCTATAACCATTAATGGAATATTGCAAAGATATTAACCTTACAAAATAAAAACTACACGTCCAAGGAACTTACAAACTGTGTCATGTCAGCAGTATTTTGCTTGCCATCTCCCGAATCTTTTGCATCCTACAAACAAAAGCAGTTCAACCATTTGTATAGTGGGGAAATTGTTTCAAAAATACATGATTCACAACTATCAATGTAATTTTTACTTGTAACACAATGACAGGGTAAATTAAAAACTTTCTTGGGTCAGAAAATGAGACAATCTGATATGAAACGTCGTGACATCTGACAGTCGTATCAATTATCACCATAAAAGGGCGCCAAAATATCTCTTAAGCTACAGGTCTATAACAACACATACTTTAGATTCAGAAACAAGGAAAACCGTTGCTTTCGAGGTAGATATGTAATATCTTATATTAAACATCTATGGAGGAAACAAAATTTGGATTTATTTATGCATATCAACTTTAAAATCTGACACGCATACATCAAAGACAATTAACCGTAAAGAAAACAAGGATCGTTATGAAATTATACTAGTATTGCCAAAATTTAAATGGAAAATTCATGATTCTCCTACAATTTCATTTAAATCAACAATTTTCCCTAATTTAGAGAACCTTATTAATGTTGCAGTGATCACATATACATTACTGATATATGAAAACCTAATCATAATAGAAGAATCGATTAGTGAAGATTGGCGGAGAGACATAGAGAAGGTTCTACATACCATTTTTCAAGCGAATGTGAATCAATTCCAGCACTTTGTGGCTCCTTACTCTCACTACGGAGGTTGTACAATTATGTTCCCCTGATCGCCCGTTAAGCTTTTGTTTGAAATTTCAACACTAATTAGAAATAAATAGCAAAAAATCAATTATGCACAAATTTTTTTCAGCCACTTTAATCTTTTTTGGTGCGGTTTTGTGGTGCTATTTAGAAACCGAGCACCATTAAATCATTTTTTACCTGTTGTAATTTTTTTTCTATTTTTCTATTTTTCATTTTTTGGTGTAATTTATGATCTATTTTACAACTTTTAAAGCTTGAAGACACACAAATTCTAATTTTTCACATGGATCAAGTCAAATTAAATCCACGCCATTCATTCCAAAATCATCTAATGGTTAAGATGCATCAAAGAGATCCCACCTTAAGCTTGCAGGGTTTTTCCTTGAAACCCTAATCCTTTTCTCTCAAGCCACCTTCCTACAACTTTGTCTCTCTGGGGTGTTTCACAATTCTGCTTCAATTTTTCGTTATACAGTTTACAAGTTCAGTGAATGTTGTTGTCTTCTTATTTGTAACATCTTTTATACTCTTATTTCACCTTGTTACACCCATTTACCAATACACTTTTATACCCATCATTTGACATTAGTTCATTACCTTATTCACCACTCATACTAATTGTTTAGACCAAATACATATATACTTCTCATACTTATATATCATCATACTTTTACTAAGCATTTGTTATAATTTTAGCATCTTTTAGTAAGCTTACATATAGCCTACACTTGTATACTTCTTGGGTGAATTTTAGGCACATAAGTGACTTACAGAACATTTTATTCAGCTTTAAGTTGTGGTTTCAGGACAGAAAACACAAGGGGTATTGCGGTCTTTTTTATGGCTATTCAAGCTAGAACTCACAGGTAATCTTCAAACAATTTAACCAAGCATTACAAAAGGTCTTAAGGGTTGTTTTGAGGACTTTAATAGCAGCCATAAAACATCATTTTGACAGCAATATCTCAAAAAAGGATTTTGCCGGGTCTTTTAGCCTCTAATACGGGCATGATTTTAGGGCAGAAAAACGAGTTGAACAGCTCAAGAATATACCTGGAATGTGACCTGGGATCAGCCCTAAACAAGCCAAATCGGATTCCCCTTCTTCCTCTCTTCTCTTCGCGGTTTTCCTTCTTCCTTCCTCGTCTTTCCTTCGTTTTTCCTTCTTTCTGTCGCACCAATATTCTCCTGCTCTTTTCTGATTTCGACCAAGTAGCAGCCCTATGGAAGAAGCCTTCTGCGATTTATGTGAGCCACAAGAGGAAACGGACGAGAGAAAAAGAAGGCCGATCACTCCATTCCCTTGTATGGGAGTTATTGGTTTTTGTTTTACAATTTCACCCCTCTACTTCCATCTTTGTACTCCAGCTCAATCCTAATTTCCTGTCGTAGTTAGTTAACTTTTACTTAAATCGATCTATCTTTCACTTTGGTCCCCTATACGTATCATTTATTTGCAAGATAACAATAACAATTAAATCATTTAATTTTTTTTTAATAACTATTATCGTTATTAGTTTTTTTTAAGTCTAATTTCATCACAAATAAAACTATATTCACCTGTCGAGAGACGCAGTTGTCACAAACATAGTTCACACGGATCGTCATTTAGGCATTTTGTCTCCTCGTCTTTAATCTTTTTCGGTGAGGTTTTTGAGCCTTTAATCTTTTTTGGTGCATTTTTTTTCTTTTTAGTGCGGTTTTGATATTTTTCTTTATTTGTGCGGCTTTTTTTTTCATTTTTTGGTTTGATCTGTGAACTTTTTTGGTGCGGTTTTTTGAGCCTTTAATCCTTTTTTATGCGGTTTTGTTGGTGAGGTTTTTTTTAGAGCGGTTTTTGATCTTTTTTCTTTTTTGGTACGTTTTTTTTTCATTTTTACTATTTGTGTGTTTTTCTAACCTTTTTGGTGCGGTTTTTGAACCACTTTGTGTCCTACATTTAAGACAAGGACTTAAAAGGACAAATGTGTCATTAATTTGGTTACATTATGTCAAGGAAATGAATATAGATTCCATTGAAATAAGAAAACATATTATATATATATATATATATATATATATATATATATATATATATATAGGGCTAGGTTATAATGTGGATGACATCTATTGTGTGGATGTAAGGACAATTCTGGACCAATGGATGCAAAAAAATACATGGTTATCATCTGAGGGTCTATGATATTCAATAAAGTGACTTGTACCATATAATCTCACAAAATTCATTGTAAGGGTATTGCAGTCAATTAAACATTATTTGAAAAAGGAAATTGTAGATTTTAAAGGATAATTAATTATCTTAATTTTAAATTCTATTTATTTAAAATTATTTCAATTTCAATGCTTACGTTTTTTTTAATCATAACCAATTTTATTCTGTCAGAATAACATTCTATTAAAATGAAATTATCATTCTCCAAGAATAAGTAAAATAACATAGCATTGGAATGTGAAAATGTTAACGTAAAAATATATTATTGCAGAATCTGTTTACACTTTTATGAAAAAGAATTTAAAATACAAATACAAACTGAAATACATAATAAGTATAAAAATCTAAAAAACTTTGTTGAAATTCTTGAAAAAATGCTTTTATGTTTGTTTCCAACATGTATATAATCTAGCACCAAAACAAAGCTTCATTTTCTTAATAATACTTTGTCATTGACCTGCAAAAAAAAAAAGATGCATTCTGTAAGAATTAATGTAAAAAATTTTAAGTTGTAATTACAAAGAAACAACACAAACAGTAAAAGAATCAAACTATATATTTTTTGTGAGAATTCTAAATTCAGTGCATTCTAAAAGAATAAAACTATAAATTCTGATAGAATATAATAGACATTAAAAATTGTAATTTATTCTTAAGTACATAATACAACCATTTTGATAGAATGTATTAGATATTGAACATTTCTATGTCACTTTGATCAAAATAAGACTATAATATCATATGCAATACCCAATGGACCAAAATACAAAACAAATGACAATATTCTTTTCTCTAATTAAACAAAGTAGCACTAAACCATGACATATATAAGAGATTCTATAAGAATGATGTAGAACTTTTTTAAAGGGTAAACAAAAAAACATAAAAAAAAAGCAGTAAAAGAATCAATTTATACATTCTTCATGGCCATTTTAGATTTAGTGCATTCTAAGAGATTGAAACTATAAATTATTTTATATCCACATTACAATCATTAATTAGGTAGACAACTAACATTCAAATAAATATTTTGAATAAGAATGTAACCGAAATAATGTTTGCTTTGATTTGTTGTTGGGAATCGATCATTTTGAACATGGAATCACACGTATCCCTAACTTTGAAACTTTTACATGCAATGCAGTAACTTCCAAAATCAAACAAACCAAAATGGGTAACAAAATTTGATTATAGGTGTTGTTTTTTTTTCTGAGGCAAAATGTCTGCAGTCTGCGGACCACATCTGTAGACCTCTGCAGTAGAAGAGGCTGACCAAACGTCTGCAGTCTGAAAAAAGAAGACTGTTTGTTTTTTAACATCCGCGGGCTACTAAAATAAACTGAAATCTAAATAAAGTGATTTTTTTAAACTTCAAAGTCATTTTTTAATATTTTTATGACTTTGTTATAAATAATTAACGAATCTAGATCAACTTTTATGTATTATTGTATAAAAAATAAAAATAAAAATGGTATGAATTAACGTATATATTTGATAAAAACCAACAACTTTGGTTGCAAAGTTATAACTAAACATTACAATTAGTGATCGAAGAATTTGATACATAAATAGATGGAAATAAACTTTGATTTTTTCAATTATATCCATTAAAAACGTACCATAAATATTTTCTCGAGAAATTGACGATATTGTATTAAATAATGTTTTACAAAATTTGGCAAAAAAATATAAGAATATATTATGATTTTTTTTCATATTTATATAAACAACTTCAACGACTATTATATTGTAATAAATCTTTATTTATAAATTTTTCAAAAATATCATGTTTGTATCGTCGAACGTTTTTTTTATGTTTTGTGATTTTTTTTTCAAATTGTTTATCATTAATAAAGTTGGAAAAAATATAAATTAAAGAAAAAAACTTAAAAAAAATAAAGATATATATGTTTTTTTAGGCTAGAAGATGTCTGAAGATGTTAGAAGACTCTGGTCCACATCTGCGCCAAGAAGAGGGCGCGCAGACATTTTTAGGTCTGCAGTCTTCAAAAAAAACAAACAGTCTGCGAAGGCTAATGTCTGCGCGTGGTCTGCGCGGCGCAGACAGAAGAGGTCACGCAGATCTGCAGACAAAAACAAACACTACCTTAATGCTATTAATCAATTATCAATTTATTAAGGTAATTCAAAAAACAAACTCATAAATTTGGGTGGCAATATAGTGAGAGAAAAAAGGGTGATTCTCTGCTTGCTATCACTCAATGAAATGTTTTTCAAATAGTCACATTCAATATGATATGAATGTTTATTCCAGTAAATCATCGAATCAATGTAAAACAACAAAGAAACATAATCACAAATGACGAACAACCAATCATTATTACATTAATCAGATTTTTATATATTAAATAATAAAATTCGACAATCATGTGACAAAACTGAAAATACGATCGAAACACAAACCTATTTTTGCCGACTTCCAAGAATCCGATCCACCGTAATTGATACAACATGAGGAGACTCGTAGTCGGAATTGGGAAATAATACGACATCGATTGCTATGAGGAACTGACTTCCACGATGCAGTAGACTAACAATCAAACAGAAATCTGAAAGACCTCAACATTTTGACCTGATTCCCTTAGTATTAATGTGAAAAATCAAGTACCGGTTCTTCAATTTAGAAGAAAACTAATTAAGAAATTTTCAAAATTAGGGATTTCAGTAAAAACAAAAGTTAACAATTGGGGAGATGCGGTTTTTTCTTACTTGGTTGAATCAGAAAACGCAAGCACTGGAGATGAAGATATCCTCTCTATCTTTTCGATTTCCAGATGGGTTCTGAAGGTAGATATGTTGCGAATATGGTGGAAGCGATCCCTATAATTTTGTTGTTGGTTGATTGAATGCACCTAGTAAATAATCGAAGAAGGTCGTTGATGCGATGATTATTATGGTGGTTCCTTCTTTCTATCATAATCGAGACGGAGACGAGATGTAGGAGATGACCAATGAAGAGGGTAAGAGGGGGTTGGATGATGACGGTGGTGATGCTTGTGAAATATGCATCAGAGTGGGATTAATGGGATTTTAAGGGTAACTAACCCATTATTTTAGGGATTTTCCATATATATCTGCGTTTACTTTTAGATACTAATTTATATACATATTAAAGTTGGACAATGCTAAGGAAATAGTGTCCTCGTGCTAATTTGCGCGGGAATCGGAAGTAAACTTGATGGTTAGTTTGGCAGAAATGACCCTTTTGTTTATGCTGTTCTGTCATCTTCTGGCTTTCTTCTGTCCTTTTTTTCTGGGGGTCGTTTTGATCATTTTTGAACTTCTATCTGCAGTCACCGCTTCTGTGACCCAATCATATTAGGATCAGTGTCAACAGGGTCACTCCCTTGATTTCATCGTGTTATCCTTCCATACTTTCAATTACCCTTCCGTTCTCACTTTTCGTATCCACCATTTCTCGCTTCTTCTTCACCACCGATCCAGACTGACCCGTTTTTCTACTTGCTCCGGGTATGTTTTTCCCTGCTTCCGTTCTGACCTCCACCGCCTCCTCTCACTTCTGTTGTCGTGCTTTGGAATTCCGGTACCCATCTACACCGCCTCACAGTAGTCGGTTGACCGACGAAGTAGTGAGGCGGAGGAGAGGGAGGGTAGGTGCCCTGTCTCTAACACCGGTGGCCATGTTACCACCGCTCCCCTCTTCTGTAATTTCTTATCGGCCCAGTTGATTCAGAAAGAAAGAAATAGAGGTTTTATTTAATTGTGTTTTTAGGTGACCGCCTCAAATTGAGTAATTTTGTTGTTTAAGATTGTGTGTGTTTTGAAGGACTAGAAAAGAACGTCCAAGCAGGAAGAAACAGCAACGCACACCGGCGCTGATTCAGGTTCGTCGGATCATGAATCCGACTTCCAAAATTGCAGGTTCGATTCGTTTAATTTTTCTTTAATAACCGAAGTCACCTGAATCGAGTTGGTAGAGACAATCTCTAGACGATGACGGTTAGTGTGGAAAAGTTGCCTCCAAAATTAGCAAGTGGCAAATAGTTCAGGGGTTATTTCAGTAACTTATCATTTACTATTCATAGTTTGACTATGAATAGTAATATATATGTGAATTTGAATAATTGGACGGCACATTTTGGACGCCTACAATTTGACTATGAATAGTAATGTAATGTTTGAACGGCGAACTTTTTGGTCAAATGTTAGGCGCCTAACATTACCTAACATTGCCTACAATTGGACACACAAAGTTGGACGGCATTTTTTCCTTTCATATGATATTCTTTTTTGGCTATAAATAGCCTGAGCCAGAGAGATTTAATATAATCATCCAAGTATATATAAAAAAGCATTACATATATATACTGATACACCACCGTGTATTTTAGCTCTCCCACTCTATTTTGTAATCTCTTTCATAATCCCTGTAAACACTGCAAATTATAGTGAATTGTTTCTCGGCTTCCTCCGCCCGTGGTTTTTTTTCCCGATTTGGGTTTCCACGTAAATTCTTGTGTCTCTATTCTATTTATTTTATTTGTATTACGTTGTGATTATTACGCTTTGATAATTTTTGATCCCATTCCGCATTGAGCTAATATTATTTAAGTCAATTTGGATCCGTCTTATTTTACAACAATTGGTATCAGAGCATACGGGTTGTGATATTAGCTCGTTGGGATCATTTTATCAAGTAATTAATCATGTCTTCGGTAAAATACGATATTCCACTACTGGATCGTAACACCCGATTTCCGTTGTGGCAAGTAAAGATGAGAGATATTCTCATTCAGATGGATTTACACAAGGCGTTCTTGGGTTTCAATATGATGCCCGATACATGGACCGAAGAAGAAAAGGAGATGAAAGATCTGAAGGCTTTATCCCAGATTCGTTTGCACTTGTCAAACGATGTTTTGCAAGATGTTCTAAAAGAAACGTCAGCGGCTTCTTTATGGCTAAAGTTGGAGCAACTGTTGATGACCAAGAGCTTACCAAACAAGTTGCATTTGAAGCAACGGTTGTTCAATCTCAAGATGATTGAAGGAGGCTCTTTAGCTGAACATATATCCACATTTAAAGAGTTAGTAAATAACTTAAGAGAATATGGATGTTCAGTATGAAGATGAAGACTTGGCTCTATTCTTACTATCGTCGTTGCCAGAATCCTATAGCCATTTTCGTGATACTATTATCTATAGCCGTGACACTCTAGTTTTAGATGAAGTCTATACAGCTTTGGATTCCAAAGAGAAGATGAAGCATATTACTGGTGGTGGTTCAAGTGATGCTAAAGCCGAAGGTTTGAATGCCAGAGGAAGAACAACAGAGAGAAGTAGAACTTCTCAATCTTCCAACAGAACCAGATCCAAGTCAAAAGGTAAACGAAAGTTTTGCAACTATTGTCACAAGAAGGGACATGTGCTTGAAGAATGCTTCAAGTTGAAGAATAAAGAAAAAGAGAAGACGGCAGCAAATGGCAAACAAGCTAGCACTTCGGGTGAAGCCGATGTAGCTGAGGTTGAAGGTATTGGAGAACTTTTGACAGTTTATTCAGATAAACTGGATTCCACTGGTGATTGGATACTCGACTCTGGTTGTACTTTTCATATGTGTCACAACAAAAGTTGGTTTTACACATTTGAAAAGGTTAACCAGGGCTATGTGTTGATGGGTAACAATACTACATGTCCAGTTCTTGGACATGGTTGAGTCAGGATCCGTATGTTTGACGGAGTTATTCGAACCATGGGGGATGTTAGATATGTTTCTGACCTCAGAAGAAACTTGTTATCTCTCAGTTCCTTTGACAAAAAGGGATACGAGTTTGCTGGTAAAGGTGGAGTTCTCAGGGTATTCAAAGACGGTTCCGACAAACTGAGAGCCAAACGAAAAACCTCAGATCTTTACTTTCTTGACGGGCAAACAATTTCGAGTGATGTTGTTGTTGTTTCAAAGTCTCTTTCTGATCCAGATCAATCCCGTCTTTGGCACCTTCGACTCGGCCATATGAGTTTTCAAGGCATGTTAGAATTGAGTCGAAGAGGTTTACTTGGTCAACAAAAGATTGTTGATTTGGATTTCTGTGAAGACTGTGTATATGGCAAGGCAAAACGAGTAAGGTTTGCAAGTGGTATCCATACAACGAAAGGACCACTTGATTATGTTCACTCGGATTTGTGGGGTCCGACTCGAGTTGCTTCAAAAGGTGGAGCTATTTATATGCTCACTATTATTGATGATTTCTCCAGGAAGGTGTGGTCTTTCTTCTTAAAACATAAAGGAGACGTTTTCTCTACCTTCAGAAATTGGAAAGTTCAGGTTGAAAAGCAATCAGGTCTGGTGTTAAAGTATCTTCGTACGGATAATGGACTTGAGTTTTGCTCAGAAGAGTTTAATGTCTATTGTCAAAAGGAAGGCATTACTCGACATCGCACAGTAGTCCATTCACCTCAACAAAATGGTGTAGCTGAAAGGATGAATCGCACCATTATGGAGAAGGTCCGGTGTATGCTTTCTAATTCCAAATTGCCAAAGTCTTTTTGGGCGGAGGCTGCTTCGACTGCTTGCTATGTTATCAACCGATCACCGTCACGAGCAATCGAGAAGAAAACTCCTGTTTGAGTTATGGTCCGGTAAACCTGCCAATTATTCAGATTTAAAACCATTCGGATGTCCAGCGTATGCACGAGTTGACAATGGGAAGCTAGAACCAAGAGCAATCAAATGCGTTTTTCTTGGGTACAATCAAGGTGTAAAGGGTTACAAGTTATGGAGCTTTGATTTGAAGAAAATTATCATCTCAAGAGATGTTACTTTTGATGAGTCTGCTATAATTCAACCAGTTGCTAACTCTTCTAAAAGAACAGATGCATCAGATGTATCATCCGAAGCAAATAAAGAGAATGCTCAAATGGAGGTGGAGCTTCCTACTTCACCTACCACTAATCAGAGTACAAATCAGCATCAAGATTCTTCTTCGTCGGATGAGCATGTTGTTGGTGAAGATTCAACACCTTCACAACCACAAGCTACTACTCCAAGCATTGCAAGAGATAGACCGAGAAGACAGATTATTCCTCCGAAGAGGTATGCTGAATCTGATTTGGTTGCCTATGCTTTTATTGTTGCTGATAATATTGAGTCCGCAACGGAGCCTGCGAATTATGACGAGGCTATCAAATCTGAAGACTCAAATGATTGGATGTTCACTATGCAAAATGAGATGGAATCCTTGCAGCGAAACAATACTTGGAATTTAGTTCCTATTTCGAAAGGGAAGAGACCAGTTAAATGCAAGTGGGTCTACAAGCTCAAGGAACCTGTCAACCCAAATGATAAACCAAGATACAAAGCTCGGTTAGTAGCTAAAGGCTACAGTCAGATTCCTGGTATTAATTACACTGACATTTATTCCCCAGTTGTCAAACATACTTCCATTCGTGTATTGTTGGGGTTGGTTGCTTCTAATGATTTTGAGTTAGAACAACTTGATGTCACTACAACTTTCCTAAATGGTGAGCTTGAGGAAGAGATTTTTATGCAACAACCTGAAGGTTTTGTAGTTCCTGGAAAGGAGAACTACGTATGCAAGTTGAACAAATCTCTTTATGGCCTCAAGCAGTCTCCTAGACAATGGTACAAGAGGTTCGATTCTTTCATGACCAGTCACAAATTCAGCAGGTGCACCTATGATAGCTGCGTTTATTTCAAGAAAGGTGACAATGGTTCAAAGATCTTTCTTACTCTTGTACGTGGATGACATGTTGATTGCAGCGAAAGATATGAAGGAGATTCAGAAGTTAAAAGACCAGTTGAAAGCTGAATTTGAAATGAAGGACTTAGGAGCTGCCAAAAAGATTTTAGGTATGGAAATTATTCGTGACAGGAAGTCTAGGATCTTGCATCTTTCTCAGAAAAGTTATATTGAGAAAGTCCTAAGACGCTTCAGTATGCACGAAGCAAAGTCTGTCAACACACCTTTTGCAGCTCATTTCAAGCTATCATCCGCTTTGAGTCCTACTAATGAGACTGATATGGCTTACATGGCACGTGTTCCATACTCTAAATGCTGTTGGATCTTTGATGTATGCTATGATCTGCACGTGCCCTGATTTGGCTTATGCTGTTAGCATGGTTAGTAGATACATGGCGAACCCGGGGAAAGAACACTGGAAAGCAGTACAGTGGATTTTTCGTTATTTACGCGGTAAATCTTCTATGTGTTTACGTTTTGGTAAATCTAACACTGGGGTGTTCGGATATGTTGATTCAGATTATGGCAAAGATTTGGATAAACGAAGATCAATTACAGGGTATGTGTTTACTCTAAATGGTTGTGCTGTTAGTTGGAAAGCCCAGTTACAGTCTACAGTTGCCCTGTCTTCTACCGAGGCAGAGTACATGGCGATTACAGAAGCAGTTAAGGAAGATATCTGGTTGAAGGGGTTATTTGGAGAACTCGATGATAGAATAAAGGTGACCACAGTTTTCTGTGACAACCAAAGTGCTATCTTCTTGAGTAAAGATCAAATGTTTCATGACCGAACAAAGCATATTGATATTCGTTATCATTTTGTGCGGGATATCATTGAAAAAGGTGATTGTGTTGTGGACAAGATTCATACAGATTATAATCCCGCTGATATGTTCACTAAAAGTCTTCCTATAGCCAAGTTCAAATTATGTTTGGACATGGTGGGTGTTTCTGATCGCAGTTGAGCCTGAAGGCTCGTGGTGGAGGAAGTATTATTTATTTTTTCGGAAACAATTTTTTCTCTATATAAAATTTGCAGGTTCTTATGGAAGTTTTAGAGTTTGGTGAGCTATAGGTTTTGACTAATCGTAAAGCATGACTTGCTTAATTTTGATGTCAAGGTGGAGATTATGGAAAAGTTGCCTCCAAAATTAGCAAGTGGCAAATAGTTCAGGGGTTATTTCAGTAACTTATCATTTACTATTCATAGTTTGACTATGAATAGTAATATATATGTGAATTTGAATAATTGGACGGCACATTTTGGACGCCTACAATTTGACTATGAATAGTAATGTAATGTTTGAACGACGAACTTTTTGGTCAAATGTTAGGCGCCTAACATTACCTAACATTGCCTACAATTGGACGCACAAAGTTGAACGACATTTTTTCCTTTCATATGATATTCTTTTTGGCTATAAATAGCCTGAGCCAGAGAGATTTAATATAATCATCCAAGTATATATAAAAAAGCATTACATATATATACTGATACACCATCGTGTATTTTAGCTCTCCCACTCTATTTTGTAATCTCTTTCATAATCCCTGTAAACACTGCAAATTATAGTGAATTGTTTCTCGGCTTCCTCCGCCCGTGGTTTTTTTTTCCCGATTTGGGTTTCCACGTAAATTTCTGTGTCTCTATTCTATTTATTTTATTCGTATTACGTTGTGATTATTACGCTTGGATAATTTTTGATCCCATTCCGCATTGAACTAATATTATTTAATTCAATTTGTTATTTTACAACAGTTAGCAACTACAATTGTCAGTTTATCGTAGAGGAATCGAGAACTCAGAACCACTGTGAGTTCCATCTGTGGCATTCGATGTAGGTGAAAAGCAGTAGTTCATCCCATGCTTCAAACCGGTTGCCAATCTCAGTCGATAATCTCAAACGTTGAATTTGATTGACTATTTTTTGTCTTTTTTTCGTCACTTCCGTCTTCCCCAAAGTCTCCAACACCGGCGACGAAGGCGGTCGGTATGGATGACTCATAATATCACCTTGCTTCCCATGAACGTCAGTAGTCTATTGATTTCAATTTTCGGGGTTTATGGATTCAAATACCCGCTTCAATTCACGAATGTTTCATAGATGTCGATGCTTTTTCTGTTTCTTTTGTCAAGATTGGACGTTTGGTTAGGAGGCGGAATTGAGTGGTCCGGTACTCTGCTGTGTCGGTTAGGAGTTGCTACTCGATTTCTCGAATTTTCGATGTTTATATCCAGGTTTGATATTCGTTCATTTTTTTCTAGGGTTTATGTTTGTAGTCTGATCGACGTATATGAAGCTAATATTTAATGATCTTTTTTAGCAATTTTTGTTTGATTTGTAGGTTTTGTTCCACACAAGTTACCAATTTACTGTCAAATTTGTCTCGAAATTGAGTGTTATCTCGACTTCTGCCAACCTCTTCCAATGGGTGTACATCTTTTATGTCCAACCACCGACATATGAAATTGAAGAATAGAGGAGATCGATTGAGAGGGAGATATTTCAAGTAGACAGGTAAATCACTTATTAGCTAAATTTTCCTTTATAAATGGTCAGACATAAAGCTATTTGTGTATTCAAAAGTTTTTAATTTATTGTTTATATAATTGTTTCAGTTTCTTAGGGCTTTAAAAGACCTAAGGTTTCTATGTTTACATTTCAGTTGAAAAGTTGAAAAGACCTAAGGTTTCTATGATTATAATATTTATAAAAGTTGAAAAGCATCACAGAAAATTTTCAAATGCATAGGCGGTGGGGAAGACGGCATGGCAGTTGCACCAAATGAGTTCATAGGCAGCAACATACAAAACGAAAGGTGTTTTTTTTGTTCCTTTTGCTAGAACGTAATAACGTATGGGTTTATAGATTTGACTAAGGCACTGAACATGGTTAATTTCTTTTCCTATATTTGATCAATAAGTTTTTGACAAAAGATTGATTGCATCATTCAAGACAGTCTTTCTGTTAATGATGATGATGTTAGTTTTGAATATTCTCGGTTTAATTTCTCATATACTAAATTTATGATTTAACCTTTTTGATGATGTTGTTTATTTCAGAATGGTTTTCTGCTCTTGCACAGTGACTTAATTTCTGGAAATTCTACTACTGAGTCGACTCAACCGGGTTAAGTTATTTGCCGTTCTGCCAGTGGTATAAAGTTGCTAACAGCCTAACAGTATGTTTCATGGAACTGTCATCTCTTAATATGACATTTTACATACATGATAATTTCGCTAATTAGGCATTTGTCTTGGTCTGCAGCTACTTTTTGAGTCAAGTGAAGAAAACGGGTCAGGTGAGTAGTTGTAACCTGTAACTTCAAATAAATATTTGTTAACTGAATCAATGTTTGGTGTCTCAGTGAGAGGTATTGGTTTGATTCCTGGGGTGGTTGGACGTTTTGATTCTGTGAATGGTTGTAGAGTGCCTCATATTGGCTGGAATGCTTTGCAAATTTAAAAAGATTCACTTATTTTAGATGATATTGCAAGCCGACATGTATACTTTGTTCATTCTTATCGTGCTGTATCGGTATGTTTTTTTTTTTTTTTATAACCAAATACCAATTATACCCCTGACCTTGGTTTTATACAACACAACAGTCTGAAGAAAATAAAGATTGGGTTTCGTCCACCTGCAACTATGGAATTGTGCTGTTTCTGATAATATTTTTTTTTCTTTCTAACATTATTATACTTATTTTATGCATAGATTAGGTAAGATGCTTCAGGGTTAATTTACAAAAAACGATTTTAATTATATTTTTCGTTTCCATTTTGTGTTTGTCATTGAAAACAAACCATTTATTAAGCTGTATACAATCTACGTGAAAGAGATAGGCCAAGTGGTAAAAGAGAGCAACAATGTTTAGTATGCTACTATTATTTGTAAATACATCTAGCTACATAATCTTTTATGGTTTGTGGAGATAAATGATTTGTATTTTTTTTGTGAGCAGATACAAGAATTTTGAGAGATTGCATCGCCGGCTAAAGGGCATTCCAAACTATACTTTACATTTGCCTCCTAAAAGGATATTTTCATCAAGTAAAGAAGATACATTTGTTCATCAACGTCGCATGTAGCTTGACAAACATTTACAAGTATGGCTCTTACTTATTATACTATGTTTCTCATGCATAAAGGTATTGAATGGATTTTGTTGTGTATATGAACTTTTATCAATAGCTAATGTTGCAAGCAATATGAAGTACTTCTTCAGTATTTCATCTAAGGTACCTATCTCTCTTTATCTCTACATTTTCTACAATTTATTTTTTTATTTTTTATTTTTTTATTTTTTGTCATCACTGTAGAATTATTCATTTGGAAAATGTTTTTTCTGTAAAGAAAACCTTAGCAGGTGTGTCCTTTTTGTTTTCACATGTTATAATACCATAATGTTTCTTTTTTACTTTATGGGCTTTTGACAAATTTCCACTTATTTGATATTTTTTTTTAGAGTGAAGTTATTTCTCGGTTAAACTCAAGGACCAAAATGTAAGTAACTCAAATTTCTATGTTTCCAACAACTTTAATGTTCATGGAATATATCTGTTTTTAATGGAATGAAAATCGATGTTGATAAGTTGAAGTCTTACATGTATAGGTGATGGATATGGCTTCGTTGACCATGAACTAAGTAATGTTGACCCTGAAGTTAGTGCAATAATATACAATGAAAAGCAACGTTAGCTTAGAAGCTTGGAGCTTACTGCATCAGGAAACTTCACATCCAGAGTTGTTATGGAAGTAGTTGGTTCTTGCCTTACAAACAAATGCCAAGAATATGCTCTTCATACAAAATGGATACTTTATAATTTTTTTTTTTTATATTTGATCACAAAAAAATACCAAAACAGGTGAGGGTATAACACCAAATGACCACATGTAAAACATATATCACACAATGGCTACCTATTTTTGCGAATATGCTTTAGATGTTATATATGAGTAAGTTGTCGGTTATTTGAAACTTGTGTATTTTCATTTCGGGTATTCGGTGGAGGATTAAGTTAGAGATCAAAGGTGCAACAAAATTAAATTGTAATGATTTTTCAAGTTTTTTTAAAAAAAAAAAAAAAACCAAACGCACAAATAAACCCAAACTACAGGGACAGTTCGTGTAATTTACTTTTTATATTATTATTTGTCTATTCTTGTCCTTTTTCTTGAATAAAAACATAAAAAAAAATGGTGTATTTCAGTTTAAATTACTATTGTCTATCCCATATTCCCGTGTGACAATAAAGAGATCGCAAGAAGTTTTTAAAATTTTCTCTATATTTTTATAAATATAATGAAAAAAAAAACTTATAAAAAGATGCATGACTTAAGTATCTTTAAATGAAAAACTTAAAGTCGGTATTTACATTGTGACTCTTATAACTATGTTAGTTTTTCCAATGCTATAGTCATTAGAAACACCCCAATTACGTATCTTTACAAAAGCCACTTTTACTATATGTGAAAAATGTCTATTTTTAACATATTTCTACATTGATCGTATAAGTATGATATTTATAAAACTACATCATAAAGATTATAATACATGTTTTAGAAAATATATTTTTTAATATATTTCTAAGTCAACTACAAATAATATTTCTAGTTTTTTGGATTTATATGTTATAGTAGGGATGAGATTTAAAACTGTAAAACCGGACCCGAAACCGAAACCGTTAGACCGGAATATATAGAACTGGCTCCGGTTCCGGGTTTAAAGAATGACTTTATCCGGGTTTCAGGTAATTCGAGTTTGGGTCCATCGGGTCCGGGTAAACCGGGTTTAAGAACCAAAACGGGTGTTAGGAACCAGACCACTTTTAGGGGCCAGAACCAGTTTCTGTGAAAAGTTTAAAATATGCATATCTCATTCGTTTCAAGTTGGATTGACATGCGGTTTTTTCCAACACGTAGCTTAGAGTTTATACATGATTTTACACTATAAATTTATCATTTTTAGTTTTATATTCATTGACTTACAGTCCCCCAAAGTCGAGATATCAAAGTTGAAAGTTTTAGTTTTTCAACGTTTTTATATTCTGTGAAAATTTTAAAACATGCATTTCTAATTCGTTAGAAGTCGGATTAACATGCGATTTTTTTCCAAATTGTAGTTTAGAGTTTGTACATGAGTTTAGACTAAAATTTTGTCATTTTTGGTTAATTCAATGACTTACAGTCCTACGAAGTCGGGATATCAAAGCTGAAAATTTTCAACTTTTAGCTCTTTGTTTTTGTACCTCGTATTCTTTGAAAATGTTAAAACATGCATATCTCATTCGTTTAAAGTCGGATTGACATGCGGTTTTTTTCCAAATTGTAGTTTAGACTATAATTTTGTCATTTTTGGTTTAATATTCAATGATTTACAGTCCTACGAAGTCAGAATATCAAAGCTAAAAATTTTCAACTTTTCAGCTATTTGTTTTTGTACTTTATATTCTTTGAAAATGTTAAAACATGCATATCTCATTCGTTTAAAGTCAGATTGACATGCAGTTTTTTCCAGAGTGTAGTTTAGAGTTTGTACATCATTTTAGACTATAATTTTGTCAATTTTGGTTTCATATTCAATAACTTACAATCCCCCGAAGTGGGGATATTAATATGAAAATTTTCAAAGTTCGTCCCACTAAGTAGTTACCAAAAAACTTCGGTTTTTTCGGGTTTTCCGGTTCTAAACACACTTTACCCGGTTCCACCCTATCCACTTTAAGATCCTAATGTCATATGTGTAGAGTGTTTTTCAATCTAAAAGTTTTATAGAGATAACGATGAAAAAAATAAGTCAACAACAATTTACACAATTACCCTTTTTATTCTATCCACAAACGTGTCAGTTAAGATGCATAGAAATATATTGATTCAATAGCATGTAATAGATGGCGACACATCCCTTGGCGTCGGTATATATATCACGGGTCCCAATAAAAGTCATCTCAACTAGTTGGGTTCCATGGATCCTATGCATATCATCAAATATAAGGTCACAATGTCCAATAACAACAAAGGGCATTTACATCTTTTTTCAAAAATTCCCCCTAATCTGAAACTTTCATGAACTTCTCAATTTTATGAAACATATTGACAACAAAAATATGTGGTCTGTCTAATTTGCATCAATTGGTCTTCTCCTTAGAAAGCTCAGCTTCCTATACCAAGCAAAAACAACAGAAAAATAAAAGATTCATTTATTCAATCATTGGGTTATAGAAAATTAACAGGTAAAAGAATATATATATATATATATATATATATATATATATATATATAATTTATAAAGATATAAATTTTCAGAAAATAAGAAGGGTAAAAGAGATACTTGATGAGTGCGTATTCAATGAAGCAATAACCTCGAGTTTTCTCAGTGTCTTCTTCTAGGCAGCACACAATTAAAAAAATTGATGATACCTCTATAATGCAAAAAAATGGAAATCCACTTCTATTTTTTTTAGTTTTATGTTTTGTCCAACAAAGCAACGTACTTTCATATGCACAATTACATAATAAGTATTGGTAAGCCATTAAAAAGAAGAAAATCAGCAAAAAAAATAAACAATTGTTGAGATATGAGAATAATAATTACCTAGAACATTTACAACAAATACTTTGTGTAACAACCCAAAAACCATGATAAAATTTTTCATTTTTAAACAAGATTTACAGTCATCAAATTGTTCCAAAAACCATCACATAGTAAACATGTCAAATTATCAGAGTAACAATATCAAAAGGTGCGGAAAATAGTGAGGGGAGAATGTGGTGCCATCACGTCGGGCCCTTCCCCTTAGTACGGGAAGTACCTGAAATCATAAATATAAAAGTGTTATGGACCAAATCATAGTCTTACAAGTAATTCATGCCGAGGGCCAAATCCCGGTATTCCATATAGGTGCCAGTATTCCATATAGGTGCCAGAGGCCAGATCCTGGTCTTTCATACAGATGCCAGAGGCCACATCCTGGTCTTTCATACAATTGTCATGGGCCAAATCCTGGTCTTTCATACACATATCACAAATATAGCTAGCATCATATATCACAAATAATGGGTCGACCTTGGTGCCTTCGACCCCATTGATACAGTGAGAAAAACTCACCTAAGTCCGCTAATAAATAACTAGATGCTTAGCTACAGAACCGGAAGATCCCACACTAAACACAACAAATAACCCTAATCAAAATTAGGTTATAACCCATAATTGTGGGTCTAAATCCCAAACCCAAACTCCAAGGGTAAAAGACCATTTTACCCTTTCCATAATGGGCCTAACCAAACTTGGCCCAATAACACAATGAAGGTCTCATCATAGTCAATCCATGGGGTTTTTGTAAAGCCCTACGCAACCAGTCGTGCCTTGAAAGTGTGTACCTTTCCATCTATGTCGATCTTCTTCTTGAAGATCCATTTGCAACCAACTGTCTTTCAACCAGGTTCTTTGTAACGCCTAATTCCTGGTATGTATTTTAAATCATAATTTATTCAATTTTGTAGATAAACTCGACGAGTTGGGAGCCCCAGACTCTTCGAGTAGAGATGATTTGGGATGCGGGTTAAGATACCTACTCGACGATTTGGGAGGCCTCAACTCGACGAGTAGGCGGGCAGGAATGAAACCCTAATTTTCAGGGTTTTGTACCCTATTTAATGGCCTTAATGTTTCATTGTGGCATCCCTCATCGTTCCCTCCGTCCAGTAAAACCCTAATGCGTGTTTTCTATCATTTTGAGTGTGTGTGAGTGCAAAGAGTGTTTTCTTTAGTGCTTTCTTGAAGGAGCTTGGAGTTTGGTGTTGCTTAGTTGAAGGGAGAAGCTTTGGATCTGAGAATTCCTCTGTTGTGGCAGCCATATTAAGGTATAAAGTCGATACCTTGAACATTTATTTGATATATCTCTTCATTTAGAAGTTTATGGCCTTTGGTAGCTTATTTTGGAGTCATTCTTGGATTTAAGCATGTCTTGAAGTTATGACTTCAGATATAGACATTTCATGGCCTTTTGAGACTTAAAGTTGCCATCTTTATCAAGTCTTGGCCATCCTCCATGTTATGAAGCTTAGTTTTAGTGTTTTTAGCCTCTTGATACCATGCATGGACGTAAAGTTAGCAACTTTACGTGGTATCTCAGCCCTAGGGGACCAGATCTATAGGTTGGAGGCATTAGACTCGCGTGGAAGTGACTGTATGAGTTGAGACTAGGAAAACTCGACGAGTTGCTTATCCAACTCGGCGAGTTGGATTGTGGTCCCCCGACCTTTCTGATTTTGAGCAAAGTCGGCGAGTTGTTGAGAGAACTCGGCGAGTTGGCTAGGGTTTTCTCGGTTGTCTGAAGACTGAAGGAACTCGACGAGTTGATAGATGCACTCAACGAGTTTGGGTCAACATGGATTGTTGACCTTGACTCTGACCATGGTTGACCAAGTTTGACTTTTAAGGGCACTTTGGGTATTTCGGGATTTTGATGGATTGATCATTTGGTTCAGGGAGTGAGTAGAACCGATTTCGAGACAGAGATGTTTCAGCTATCATCCGACATTTGAGGTGAGTTTCCTCCTGGATTGAACGGGTCGAAGGCACCAATGTCGGCCCATGTATGCTATGTGTGTTGATTAGTAGCTAAGTGTGGGTAGGGCCTGTATCTTAGCATTATTTGAGTATGTACATGGAGTGGATTGGTAGATTTGGTTATACTTGTTGTCTGGGTGATACTTGTATGTGTTCTTAGTTAGCTGAGTATGGGTGGGGCCCGAATCTCACTATTAGCTGAGTGTGGGCGGGGCCCATATCTCTTAGATAGCCGAGTGTGGGTGGGGCCCGTATCTCTTAGATAGTCGAGTGTGGGTGGGGCCCATATCTCCTAGATAGTTGAGTGTGGGTGAGGCCCGTATCTCACTAAGCATGGTCGGGGCCCGTTATCCGAGTGTGGGCAAGG